CCTACCAGGAAGTAGTGATTTTTTGGAAATTCATTAGTTTTCCGAGTTTTCTGATCAATATCATATGGTACAATCGTTGAACAATATTAACAATACGAATGAAAGTATAGTGACATCAGAAGATCCATCCTAAAATTTTCTCATGCACATTGGTTTTTCGACAAATTAATCCATCATCCCTAACAGACTGTGCATTAAACAAGTCAACGAAGATGTAGAAAGATCCAGTTGCATTCCGACAATGTCGAGAAATGATTGGTGGAGATCATAATCATTCCTAATACGCAAGCTTGACGGCTATTTTTTAAACCAATAGCAAAATGATCTCTTTGATCGGAGCGAACACCATGTTGACTCAGATGCTACGTTAAATCGAAGCAAAAAGGCGTAAGTAAACATTTAAAAAGCACAAGCAGTACATATATCATTGAGATGGACCATAGTGTGTGAATAATTGAATAAAATCACCAGTACATGAAAAACTTGGAAGCCCTATACGACCAATTCGTGCTCCTATAGAACTACTCAGCAATGTGCATCCACGATCCCGAATGCGGTTTTCAAACCCAGAACATCACATCTCGAATGAGAACGCTTAGACCCCAGACTGTCAAGCCAGTATCTAAAAGTATTAATGTTCAAAATCAACAAATCTACGAAACTGCACAACCACCTTTCAGCTTTTGAGTTAGGAACTGACTCTACCTGAAACGTGTTTGCTCCACTGGTCACGGATTATCACTAGAAATGAGAAAATAAACGAATACATATATTAGTCGATTTAATTGGTATTCTTTACCTGAATAACTAGGATAACGCGAATGCATTTGAAGCAAACGGTACTGATTTTGAGTGAAAGAGAGAACATCAATTCAGATATGCAGGCACATCAAGATAAATAGTTCGGATAGGAGAACGAACGCGCACGATGCATTCTACTGACAGACAATATTCAGCTTTTTCCTAAAATGTTGATGAAGTTTAAAAATCGAATCAAAGACGTCAACGTATTGGCAAATATATGCGTCATATTCGGTCAAGCACTGAATCAAGTGAAGAACAAAGTCAATAAATGAAAAAAACGAGATTCAGAGCATTCGACAATTTTGTCTGTGAGAAGAAACGACTAGCTCCTCATTCCAAAAATAAAGAATGGTTTATCACTCTTACCTGATTCGTAGATAACAGTAATTGTCAAACAGGCAATAAAAACAAGACCTCAACTCACTGTACTCTCATCATCAATTCAAATCTGCTGATGTATTGTGATAACTGAGCACACAATCTTTCCAACACTGTTATATATACACTGAAATTTATATGATTTTAACCAGTGAAAGAAGATGGCACGTTCACAGAACACATAATGTAATTATTAATACTGATCTCATAATCTCATATAATCCCACTCACCGTCCTGAGTTCCATAAAAACACGATTTCTTTACACGTTTACATGAAGCATATCACGTGATACTCATTGATAGACTCTATTTTTCTCCATGTATGTTTCTAGTCGAATCCATTTCAATAAACCACCAACCATCTGATATACAAAGAAGAATTCTCCTTTTCCCGAAGTTTCTTATTCATTCACCTCGGGAGTGCTCAAAGTTGATTTCATCCTGAATTGTTTTGCAGCCTCATAAGTATTAAAATTTGGTACTGATAATTATTTGGTCGAGTAGTGAATTTAGATGATCGACTCATTGTCGAATGAGGCCTGACCAATAATGCTTCTGTACACAGGGTTCAGTTAAAAGACGGAGACTTGACGATGTCAATCTAGTCTATAAAACATTGGTTTGTGCTGGTTTCGAGAACAGTCGCTTGACTCCAAGAACCGGTTTGAAGCACATTTGTGGTGGTGTGGTGTGACTTGAATTCCCTAGATAACACGATGCACATATTGCACATGCTTAACTTCCAAATCGTCCATGAAAACTAACGAAGGCGAGTTCAAAATTAGATCGTTTGTAATAATATGAAAACTCGTAAGCTGAAATTGATTGTCATTAACCCAATTGTTTTTCCGACGAACAAGCAAATCCTTGAGCATCACTACACCTTGACATTTAACGATCACGTGGGTAATCGTGCCATATTACGATATTTTATTATCGCGATTTGGCGCTATTATGGATTCAAATAATAGTCTTTCATTTAACGTAAGTGTGAAACAATGTACATGTTAATCGCTGGTAACGAAGCGTGAGTTGTTGGATCAGCATCGCTTTATTGATTAAGCTGTTGAGAGTTTTGTCAATTACTCAATCGCTGGTCATCCAACCGAGATTTAATCTAACGTAGATCCTGTCGCGGATCAAAAACTGGTTTCTTTCAAATACCTTTACTAAGTATGTTGTTGAGTACTTTCAGCATTCTGAATAATATTCACACGATGATGTGTATAAGTCTTTCAGTCGAAGTGTTTTTATTATCCAGCCAGTAGCTTCGGATATCAGTCAACTACTCCCATGCGTCTAATGGAATTCTACAAGGAGCGAGCGAAATGCGATTAAAAGTTTTAATCCAGAGTTAGGCTATGTACAGTGAAACGTAAGTATTCGGACTGATAGAATAGGTTAAGAAACTCTGAAAATTTTCGAAATTACATATGTATATGTGAATATCAAATGGAAACCATATTAGGTGATAATTTGTCTTCTTGTTTCACAGATATTTTATTGAAACTCTCTATAATCGATTCGGTCATTCTGGTTCGTCTGCTTTTAAGCACATTGAGTTCGAAGTGATGGTGAGAAACAAACATTCAAGCGTCCACACAGATCATGTCAATTGATCATTCAATCAGACAATGAAGTACAATCATATACAGTGTTTGATGATCTAGTAAGTCTGAATAGCCATTTCAATAGTCTTGTAGTTTGTGCAGCAGCAATAAAACGAGATGGACATATCGTGTAAGAAGTATCAAGTCCAAACTAATCCTATGCCCGTTCTAAGTCGTATGCAGCAACCTGTGATTATATTTTGAAGTGGATGATATTCCAGTGTCTGAATGTTATATTATTATAGACCTTGAATTTTGGATGTTTACCTGACTTCAATTTTTCAACACATAACACTTAAGTTAGATCGACAGCACATGTGGGCTTCGTATCTTGCCATTTCCATGACAGTGAGTCTCTACTAGTAACATAGACAGTTTGTGTCTTCCCAACGCTAAGCTTCTTCAAAAGAAAACCTAACATTTTAAGTGTTATGTAAAGTCGAAAACAATTGCGTAGTACATCTGTTCCTAATTATTTCAGTTCGCCTATGTGCTCAAGGTGCCGATTTCAGTAGTTCACATCACACTTAGATGCTAGCAATAAAAAGAAACAAATACTGGTCCCTTGAAACTTCTTTCTATGTGTTAGGTTTTTATATTATCATCTTTGGTACTAGATTCGAAAATCCAGTGTCTTTGATTCGTCTGCGATTTTCATTGTCTTCGTATTTTTCAAAGATGTGTTTTGCACTTCATCGACCATGTTAATTGTCTATTGTTTGCAGGTCACTGTGTTTCCTTGTGTCAACACTTGTTATCATCCTACATGTAGGATACGGTCAAGTCAACTTTGAATACTACCTGTTTGCTGTGACTTGGCCACCATCGTATTATCTGGCGCAAAAAGTAATAAAACTTCCGTTTACTTGAAATGTTATCCTTTAACATGAACTTGAATCTATCGATTCACGTTTCACAGATGAATTTTATTGATTAATATACAATGAAATCAATCTGTACGATTCTCTTCCGTTCGTGGATATGGACCAGAGTCATTCGCTGATCGAGTACTGATCATTGTGATATTCATTGACAGGTTACGCTCACATTGTAGAGGTAATACTTTATTTCACCAAACATGGGGATTCTAACTGTATATTGATTGGATTGAATCAGGACAATTAGGCACATCACTGCCAAAGATTGCTTGAAACTGAACACAATGACATTTCCAGTGTTTAGGTCTGTCAGCTTGGGTATGGGTTATTTCGAGTGTATATCAAGGATCAGCTTTTGAAGGCAAATGGCCGAAGCAACTTATTTCACTTTGAAAAATTATCTTGTCACTTGAATCGCATTTGATAAGCTTCAACACATATTATATTCACATACATCGTTGTTCAACTGAGTAATAATTATTTGAAATTCTTCCTTTTAGAGTGCTCCACCGAAAGAATTAGATGGTTTTACTATTCATGGAATGTGGTAAGATTACATCTAATTTATGAAATATGTGCTTTGTAATGTTGTCGAATATACACAAGCAATGTCATGGATAATCATTGGGCACTATGTCCGTAAACTTCCGACCTGCTATGTTAGATCCAATGACCATTAGTACGATTTTATAATAAGAGCTTATCCGAAATGCCTACAGGTTTCAACATTACATTGTTGTACACTCATGTCAAACAGCATTCTTGAAAACATTGAACTTATTATTTATGAAATAGTGTTGAATGATGAGGTGAGTGCCTAGCATTGACTTGTCGTTTTCAGCGCGTCCGTGCGACGGAGTAAATTTAAATTGTGGAGTTCATCGATCAGCATCAAATTACTATTGGTCTCAGTTCCACTGTTTCACTAAGGAACAGTAAGTTTTCTGACCACCGTAACAACAATAATGCATGCTGTGAATCAATATAATGGCGTTGAATAGATTTAAGTGGACACACTCATATACGCTTTGCAACTACTATGATTTAATTATTCCGAATGATACACACATTTTACACTGAAATTATAGCTGTTTATTGATAAATATAAGCAATCACATTTCCAAAATATACAACTCAGTGAATGGATGTAGATATTTGGTTAACTGTAATGTATTTTGTATATCATTTTTTAAGGCCCGAAATTGCACGTCATAAAGATCCAAAGTGTAAATCGAAAGAACAATTTGATATAGCACAATTGCAGGTTAGTCAGATATAAATTTCAGCCATTTTTAATCATATTCACACTATCTCATTTTAATTAACTTATCGAATGTCAAGCAAACTACTGGATTTGTATCAGCCACTGCTCGGTAGTGATTGAGCTAATTGCTATTTTCTATAAGCAGACAATGCTAAAGTTTGATCGATTTTTGATCCTCGAGCGGTGTTCATCACCGGATGAGAACAAACGTGGAATTTTACAATGATGCTGCGAACGAAAGTGTTTAATTTCGCTTGTTCGTAGTAGATTTTCCGATGCAGTAATTCACTAAGGCTATTCTTTAAATTTATTCTCTCATTCTATTTCAGGGACTACTAAGCGATCTAAAAAACTGTGGCCATTTTTGAAAAATTACAGCTATCCAGCTGTATTTTGGTAAGAGATCTGATAATATTTCATTAACCGAATATTTCTTCCGGGGATTAAACAACGTTCTCTGTCGATTAAACGATATAGTTTTCTGGTCATGATCCCCAATGTAACTGGCAATTGAACCACACTCCGTAAACGCAAACATCATTGAGCAGATGAGAACGTTTGATAGTTACTAAGTTGAAGTGGTTTTGTGTAAAGAAGCCATGCAGTGATGATATTTTGGCTCGGAAAATGAACTTCAGATGAAGATGTGTGTTCTGTCGAAAGCAGAATGATCTGCAAATGGAAATCAACCCTCGACGATATGCTTTGTTGACTGATGAATGTGACAGAATTGACAAAGACTTCCTGTATTGTTTCATTGAATTGACGTTGTTAGAAGCCATCGTGTTGTCACTCATATTTCCGATTTGTCGTCGAACAAATTTCAATTATGTATAAGTCTTGTGGGTAAAACATCACAGAAAAATCAACTTAAAAATGATAAGGCACTTTATGCTGAATCTTCAACTTTCAGATGTTTCAAACTAGGGGTCTTTCAACAAACAATAAACTCATGATGTTCGTTTTCGAAGACAGTTTAGGCCATTATCGTGTACTTTTCAAATTACATTTGGTTACTTTATGAAATATTTTCAACTGTGTCCACTTATAGGAAATATGAATTTGACATACATGGCAGGTGTGCACTACAGGACCCTCTAATCGGTAATCAATATCGGTACTTCAAATTTGGTATTGACGAGATGAAAAAACTGAAGCTACTGGAGTAAGTGATCCATGTTGTAATAAATTTATGATAACATATAGTTAGCCATATTGATCATCCTCATATCCGTGATCGACTTGTGAAACAAACTAATCATACTGACTATGAACAGATGTGTTATGTCCTATAAGTGGGATTGAGGACGCCCATTTTCGACTGAAATGAGGCTCTTCAGTTGTTTTCAGTAATACGACTGAGAAGAGCATATAATTTGATCATGCGTATCGGTTGATTAAACAACCGATGTCTGATGAGTAAAAACCGGATGTCTAATGTTACTGTGTAAGTGAATACTTGTTAAATTAGCCAATTACATCTTATATCTTTGTTTATATTTGTTTTCTATTATTTTAGTAATCTGAAAAAACACGGTATCACACCGCATGCTTCCATGAAATATGATGTAAGTCTTAGAGAATAAATCAATTTTCATGACAGCACCATCATATATGCTTGATAAAATAATGGTTGGGATCTAACCCAGTTCAAACGTCGGTCACATCTATAATTATGCATGATCAGAAAGAGTGTGAACTCATTTAAAAGGAACATTTCATTGAACAATCAACCGTGTTACCGTTTGTTGTTAAATAACGAATTTCCATTGAATTTGAGGGGGATATTTTAACATAATTGGCCGACTCCAAGAGATACCTACTAACTATTCAAAGTGATGCGAATGTTGTACGAAATCTGTCAGTGTGATCACTGATACTAAACTAGTGTGATGGCTTCATGAACCGAATGTCGACGTCAGTTAGAACTGACAAAACAAGGATTAAGAACTTCAATGGTTAACAGGCAAAAACAGTAAATGTTTTGCTACTCTAGATAAACGACTATTATTTCACGAAACAAGGTACACTTGGATAATCACATATCCAACACAGTGAAAGGTACGTGAATCCGTTCACATCAGAATTGAGATTTTGTAAGCTGTAGCTTTTTTCAGTAAGAAAACTGTGAGCAAATACTACTACTACCACTATTATTATTATTATTATTATTACTAGTAGTAGTGGTTTTCTTTATATGTAGAGGATGGTTTCCCCAGTCTGATCGCCTCTGTGTGCCTCTACTACTTCACATTTGAAAATATCCACCTCTCTTCACTTGTGTCTCATATCTTCACGACTTTATTCGCACTTGAGTCTGACGTTGCGTCATTTAGTTTACCACCTCATTTACTTTTAAATATTGTTGCAAAAGCATTGTAATCATTATATTTCATACATATTAGAAATGAATTTTCGTTCTATTTTTCGCAGGCAAACGCTTTCCAGAATGTGCTTAAGAAAGAATACGGTCACCATGGTTTCTTAAAGTGCACCAACGTAATCGGACAGGTGAGTGTATCAGTAATCAGTAATCGATTCCTTTACGAATGTAAAAATAAAACACGTTTTTTTATCGTACCATTCGACTTTCCAGAATGTTATATAACTGGTAAACGGTATTTCAGCAAACTGTTAATAAGAATGTAGTTAGACAATAAGTGAAGTTGAAAGCATATTGTAACTGATTTGAAGTGAAAATATGAACCAACAAACCTGCCTCGATATTGTCTTAATTCACGAGCTTTATAAGCAGATATTGATTGTGACTAACAGTGGATGCGAACAAATGCAAGTGGAATCAAACTTCACCCCATTGCACAAACAGGTGGCTATCAGGATTCAGTAACTAGGTGGATAACGTGATGGTGATTGGCGCGATAGCTACAAGGTTCGAGTCTTGAAGTGAACATCAACCCAGGGATGCAAGTACGTCCAGCTGAGCAGTCCTAAATAGGATGAAACGTGTGTCCACTACCAGGCAGTATTCATCTTCGCTTATAACAATCAGATATTGCTAAATGCGAATGCGATAATTGTAGTAATCTTACACATTATATGTTTAATAACAATTCGTGGACATTTGTCATTTACGAATTATGCACAACATCTAGTCATAATGAAATGGGTAGACAAACAATCGTCCCGACACATGGAGTTCAGAACAAACTTGTGTTAATTGATACCTTTAGAGCCGGATTTGATTTTGAGCGTTGTGAAATATTGGCTTAACTCTACCGTTCTCTCATTTTTCCAGAGTGGAGTGCGTCTCCTGGAAGAGGTGAGGATTTGCTTCAATCTTACACATCATTACATGGACTGCCATTCCCTCGGCAACTGTCCAAGTCAGTTCGTATTTCCTCCATATTAATTACTGCGTGAATTTGCTACAGTTAAGCCTATGTTTAATAATAAAGTTGGAACATGTTTACTGCTTCTGTTATTTCGTATTTTTGAAGTATAATTTCAAGGGTATTTATGTAAGGGCAATAATATTGAATTTTTCATAGTGAATCGTCACAAAAGACTCTGAGTGCATCTTGCAAACAATCGTTGATAGATCCCACTAGTTGTTCACATCTTATTGCAAGATTGTTCACTCGTTAGTTACAGACTACTAACGGTAAATCGGTGAACTCTTGAAAAGTAGATGTCGTGAAGCACATGGTCAAATTTGTTCATAGATGATGCAATGGTTCTGTAATTAAAAGTGATTTGAATTCTGGAAATCGTGTCGAAAGTTATATGAAATATATTCATGTCTTTGGAGGTGAACCACAATAAATGTTCTTATTTGTATCTCTGGATATCCAATGAAAGTAAATGGACTAAATAATAATAATAATAATTTTTATATTCTGAAAAATAATAATTACAGAATTCACGCCAGTTTACAGGCATGATCAATTTGATGTAAATAATAACGTTAGACGTGCAGAACAAACATGTGATAAGAGAAAGTTTTAAGTATACTAGTTCAGTAGTTGTTTAAGTAGTACATATATTACAGCGATCCAATGCATCAGCCGGGAATTTTTAATATTTCTTAAATGGACAGCCTGTTGATTTATGAACGGTGTAATTAAGGTCAATTCGTGTGCCAGATCGAAATAATGATAATTATCTACAACTGGAGAAATTAAAACGAAAAGAGAGAGCACGAAACAACAAAAAAGTAATTACCAAAATATATCAATCAGGTCTACCTAAATGCGTGTGTCATGTGACACAGTGATATACTGTTTATGTTGTTCAAATTAGTTAAAGTTGCTAGGGGAGGTGTTAACATATTGACAGCAAGTGGGTGGTTTAACTAAGAGAATTCACTAATAAAGATGGCTAAACATTTAAGGTTCCTAAAATATCACTTGTAGAATGAGATACACTTGAAGGCGCTAGACCATTCAATGCATTTTCAGAGGAGCAGTATAAATCGATGCAGCGAACAAATAATGGGAGTGATTTTATCGTGCGGATAGATTGTGGTAGGTTTTCAGAGTTTCTTAACCTATTCTACCAGTCCGAATACTTACGTTTCACTGTACATAACCTAACTCTGGATTAAATCTTTTGATCGCATTTCACTCACTCTCTGTAGAATTCCGTTAGACGCATGGGAGTAGTTGACTGATATCCGAAGCTACTGGCTGGATAATAAAAACCCTTCGACTGAAAGACTTATACACATCATCGTGCGAATAATATTCAGAATGCTGAAAGTACTCAACAACATACTCAATTTCAGCTTACGAGTTTTCATATTATTACAGAACGATCTAATTTTGAACTCGCCTTCGTGAGTTTTCATGGATGGACGATATCAGAAGCTGTTCGCTGCAGGGTACGTCTTAGTCCTGATGTAAAAATCAGAAGTGTTTTATATTTCACCTTCGTAGCATATTTACGGTTCCTTCATTTCTTCAGAATACAATGATGTCTTTTCTAAGTTACCTCAGCTACAGATGCTGTCAACGTTTATTACGTCTATTACATTCCCTTGAATAACCCAACTATTTTTTCTTTTAAATTCTGATGCATTTGAGTTTGTTAACGATCATCCAAGAATGATTAAAGCTAGCAGAGTAAAAGCCGTATATTCCATGTAGTTTATGATTTATCATGCTGTGTGATACATCACCGAATGACTTGAATATACCAGACGACTTTGTGCGACTACCTTCTAGAAAACCATGTTGTGGTTCAGGAATAAGGCATTCAGTTGACAAACAACTTGAGACACCGTATATAACAACCTCCATGTGTTATGGGATTACTGGAATGATATTTATTGATCTGTAGTTAGTAGCGTCACTTCGGCCTTCAGCCTCATACTGTGTGGTAATGTAGCCGTTCATCCAGTTATTCGGATGCACGCCTGATCAGATGATATAGCGCATATACTAAGAAGTATATTTGGTGTATTGTCGCCACATTACTAAGGAATATGAGGGTGATACCGTTGGTTCATATAATTGTTGCAGTTCAACGGCATTTTATAGCATAACATATAGTTTTAGCTTCGAACGATACGCCCAAGAGTTGTAATTTCTAGGTCAACAGATTGCTCCTAATTAAATGCTGGTAGAGTGGTACTAATTATTCTACATATTATAGTGGTTATTCTTCGTTCATCGATCACCTCGATGATCGTTATTATATTAATCTCAACAGTATTTGAAATCAGAGGTCGATGAGCAGCTGCAACTACAGTTTATTAGCGGATAACGCAGGTTACAAAGCTGTGAGCGCATCAGTGGAATTTCAGGTTGAGAGGCGAATGTATGTGTGCGAGCAAATGCCAAAAGTAATTATTGCAAAATCGCATAAGGTCACAACAAGGCAAGGACTTGAGTCCACATATATATGAGGGAGCGAATGAATATTCGATTGATATTTAAGCGATGAACAATTCAGTTAGAGTCTATCATGTGATCCAATGATCATATCAATGCAAAGGAAAAGACGAATTAATACTATTCAAATAACATTGTATTTTAAGCAAGTTATTCAATGAGATCAACCAAAACTACTCAATACTGAAATCCTTTGTTGGAAAGATGCTCTAAAATATTCCCTGAGTCGGTTTACATTATGTTCGGCCGGATGAGTGATGAAATATCGCTCAATCTACACATGCATTTATTTGTAAGTTATGTTGGACTACTTATTACAGAGCTACTTCTGGGGGAGTGAACATTCCCTTTGCTTTTATTCTCAACATGTCAGTTCTACATTTCGACTGAATATACTATACGGTAGTAATATATAACAAACACCAGAAGGTATACATAACATCAATATTCAGATTTTAAATGAAAATTGGATTTCTCCCTAGATATCGTTACATGGTTGAAAACCTTTCTTTCGAACACTTCCGACTTTTTATAACTTTGATTAAAACTAACGCAATTACCGAATATTGCATTGCAAAATGAACTCATCATATTTTTGCCCCCTACTTCGTTTGTGTAACATTTATACATACAAAGATTGATAGTGGAATCGACGACTTACGTTTCACCCTATATGTGACTTATAAGCTGGAAATACTTGCATATAAGAGCTGATG